CCAAATATAGATTCTTTAGACCAAACTTTTGTTTCAAGCCATGACTCCAAGCAATCTTTCTAGTCCAGAGCTAGCCTGATAAAGGATTCACTTGATTCAGTTTCTGTTATTCAGTAGCCCTGATACTTTGTTCATAGTATTGCTAAAGCATAAATTTGGTTCAGGACGTTGAATTGAGGTTTGGATCAAAAAGTGATCAAACTAACAACAGATAGCACCTCTAATTTCCATGCTAAGCAACAAATAGAGATTATTAGAAACTGAAGAGCTTTTCAATTAGAAATTTCATTAGAAGCGTTCCTTAAAGAAGTTTTCCTGTTTAACTTTCTAACTAATTACAGACATCTATTATGGAATCTGCATAGGATTTCAAGAACTATAAAATGCCTCTTGAGCATCATAGACCACCAACCTGGAAGACTCTAGATATAGAAGTTATTTTTGGGGTGCTATAACTTTAACACTTGCCAGAGTACATTACTCTAGGAAGGTCTGCTGAAGGCCAAAAAACTGCTATCTTCTTTAAAACTATGTATTCTTAAAAAATAATTTATGGCTAACATATGCAGAGTCCCAGAGTTATTAAATAGACTTTGGAATTCTAAAAACCTTGAAGAGTGGTTCATTTGCCACTGGTTGGCTATACATTTTTAAAAGCTGTTTTGCCTAGACGAATGACCATACTCTCCACTGTGGTATATAAATCAGGAAGCATCACTACTTTCTTGTCAATAATTCAAAATATTTTGAAGAGCCTACTAACATATTGACTGCACACAGTAAGGAAGATGACCTTGATAGAGATATGCAGGCTCCGTTGCCAAAGCAACAGGAACTCAAGCATTTTTTAAAATCCAGAACATCCAGAAAATGTTGGGAAGTGGCTCAGACAGCTCCCTAATTCATTGAACTATAAGGAGGAGGTGGAAGTACAGCACAATCAGATTTGCAAGATTCTATTATAATAGCCAATCTTAATAAAAGTAGTTATAGACATCCTGTGATTTCATGGACTAGGCTATCCACTGGGGCTGACACTGACCAAATAGGTGTTAAGGATTTCTTGGACTCTCCAAGTTGATACTATCTTTATTTATTTCATTGTAGCCCAAACAATGGGCTACAATGGAATAAACTGAGGGAAAATACTTTCACTGTAAAGACTATGCACCGAATATGACCAAGTGGGAGGAGAAACCATTCTTCAGAAATCTCCATCCACTGATTAATAGCTTTGTTCATGGATGTCTTTTGAACAGTCATCTAAACTATCTTTGTAAATATGCCCAAGAATTTATTAGCTATCACTGGAGCCAGATAAAAATACAGAATGTTGGCTTCTTAACATAATGTATGTTTATGTATGTGTATGCGTGTGTGAATTCTACCAAGCAGACTAGCAGAGGAGGAATAAAGCTTAGGGATAATTTCCCATCCCCAAAAGCAGAAAAAACAAGCAAACTGGTAGAAGTTTATTGAGGTCGGCCCCACACCTAGCACACTCTGTCACCTGCATAGCATTCCTGGTGGCCTATGGCTGGTAGGCAAATTGATAAATAAAAAAAAACAACTGCTAAATCTGTTTAAGATTAGGTGAAGATTCCACAAGAAATACATACTTTTATAGTGAAATTATGTCAATTATATTGATACCTTTAATCACTATTTGAATATTGCGCTCATAATAAATTTTCCAAGGGAAGAATTTTTCAGTAGAATACAATCTTCTAGACTGTGTATTCTATTGCACAATTTCTGATCCAACTGGATAGACTTTAGAGCAGCATACAGTGTTCCAAGTTTTAATTAATTAAACGACATTTATATTGCTTATTGAACTATACATTTATTTTTTACTTAGGCCCTCCAGTTACTGCATTCATTTCCCATTGATACACGATTAAAAGATGGCAGTAAGTACAGTAATTTTGTATTATTATATCAAATTTAACTTTGCTGTTTTTAAGAATTAATTTGTTTTCCTTCAAATTACCAGGTTTGTTTTGGCAGTCACCAAAAAGGCCGCCTTTTCCAATTCAGTTTGATTTCAATGATTCTTTGTAAGTAAAATTTTCTTTTTTATATATATTGTTATTGTAACAAAGAACTCTACATCTGCGGACATGTAGAACTAGTTTCATATTGGTATTTGTATATAAATATGGTATCAGAAGATCTTTTATGGCTTTGAAAATCAGCTCTGAGTCCTGTAATAAAACCCATTGACATATAATATGTGTGTTGGGGAATTGCTTTTTTTTGGCTATAATCTTCTTTTGGTGTTATCTCTGAATGCTTCATTCAGTTACCTTCAGTACATATATTTTTACACATGTCAACCACATGATAGTGCTAATTTCAGAATTTCTTTTAACAAAAATTCATGTATAAGTTTGGTTTACATCCATATCATCAAAATGAGGGTTTGAGTTCCAGTTCCAAGGTACTGTTTCCTGATATTGAAGTTTATTTCCAACTCCTCAAATATCTCATTGCTTCAAAGACTTGCTTTGTATTTTGTCAACTCATATATCCATTGGAAAACTTCATTTTTTGTTTCCAAGCCCTACTAAGATATGTGAATTCTGAGCTGTATGCTTGCTTTTCTGCAGCAGTAACAAGCTGGGCTTTGGGCTAAGAATCCTTAGTTTTGCTTTATTTAAACTGGGGTGAGTGTAGCTATTTTTCTAGATCTACTATCTGCCTTTCTGCAGTCCTTCAAAGGGCTCGCATAGCTTTAGAAAGGCTTAAGTTGATTCTGATCATTTTGACACAGATTCTGGTATGTTTAAGAGCATCAGTGATTCTCTCCAAAGCAATTTGATTTGACTTGAGATTCAGCTAAGTCTAGTTTGCTGTGTACATGATTGGAGATGCTTTTTGTTTTAGTTTTCTGCAATCTTTTTCTCATTCTTTTCCTTTAGGCACTACAGTTTCATACTGAGTACAGCAAAACTGTTTGCAGCAATTTATTGTATCTCTTTTACAGAAAAGGTAGGCTTCCAGATAGATGATGCAATATTTGCACTAGTTGGCTGTTTTGTTAATTTTTCAGAATAATTTGAGAAGTCAACCATAGAGGAAAAAAAATTTAAATCCAGTCTTTAGCTGGATTTAAAGGATTAAGAATCCTCATAAGAGATGTTTTGAATAAATTCCGAGTTGAATATTCTCTCACTTCGATTTATCTGAATTATGCTTCCTGATACTCTGCTTTCCAGTTTTTTTTTTCTTGCTACATATTTATTCTGATCAATTATAATCTAATTTGCTTTCACATATATACATATATACACACATATTAAGATAGATTGAGATTCTTTCCACTCTGTAATATTAATAAAACATCTGCTAACTTAAGGCAATAAGCAATTCAAAATAAATGCCATTTTGTTCACATAATTTTGTAGTTTTATGTGTGTGAAAGAAATGTTCTCTAGGAAACATCATCAGCCATATTTTGATAAACACAGACTCATGAATTCTGCTCTAAGGTTTCCATGCTAAAATGTATTTTTAAATTATTTTATTGATTTCCTTGCTTTGGGGTAGGGTGAGGAGTGAATAACTTTGAAGAGTGCCTGCTTCATGCAGTTCATAATTGCTGTTATTTTCTTAACAAAACACAGGATGTATCAAAAGATACTATTTTCAAGATAATTTCTGGGTTAAAGATTCAAGAGTTTCGACCCTCTAACAAAGTAAGTTCAACTGTTGAGTAATGTGCATCTTCATTCTATCTTTTTTTCTGATTATTACCTATGATAGTCCATAGATAGATAGATAGTCATCCTAAAATAAATTGTGCTGAATACATTAACAGAATGAATTAACTTGGGTGGGTGTCCTTAGCAGAATTCTGGAGAGGAAAAAAAAAACGCACCAGGGTAGGGAAAGAGAGACCCAAAAGCTTAAGTCACTCTTTTTAGTGTGAAACCTGTGATCTGCGAAAGTTCTGCCCCAGTGAATTGGGTAAGAAATCTGAAGAGTCAGAACAGATAGGACCTTCAGGTACAGTAGTTATAAGGCAAGGAACAAATCTCTTGTACTACAGGTAGTCCTAGGGTTATGATGGCAGTTGGGACCAGGATTGCCATGCCTAAGCAATGCAGTGATAAAGTGCAATGTCAGATGACCACATTGCTTAGCAACAAAAATCCCAGCAGTCCCAGTTGATCTAACCCCAAGTGTGGGTTAAGAGTCCCAGGTAAGAAGTTCAGAGGTGCCACAGGGGGTGGGTAGGGGAGGCCCTGGGTGCAGGCTGTGTGTGAGTGCAGGAAAACTGGGGAGGTGGACAGTGTGGTGTGAGCACATAAAGGCTGAAGGGGTGGACGGCAGGACATGAGTGCAGGAAGACCAGGGGGTGGACGGTGTGGCAGGAGCTCAGGAAGGCTGGGGATGAATGGCACGGTGGGAGTGCAGGAAGGCCGGGAGTACTTACCAGAGTGGCTTGCAACCTTCCCTGCTGGCTTCCCCTTTGACTTTGCTTGTAGGAATCTGGTAGGGAAGATTGCAAATGGTGATCATGTGACCATGGGACAATGCGACTGTCATGTGAGCTGGTTGCCAAGTGCCCAAATTGTGATCACGTAATTGCAGGGATACTGTGTCAGCCAGAACTTCAAGGACTGGTCATAAGTATCTCTCATTCACTGCCATTGCAACTTTGAACAGTCACTGAATTAGTGGTCGGTAAGCGAGGACTACCTGTATTTTGTGCAGAAAATGGGGGGGGGGGAAGCTTCATTCTGAGTTTAGTACAAAACAATCCCACTTGGACATTTCCATTAATCAATCAATCTTTATTACAGTCATAGACCAGTACAAAGCATAAGTTTATAAAACAAGCATTAGAATATTTCAATTGTTCTGCCACAGGGAAGAATCCCTTGCTTTTTACCCTAGGACCAAAAAGGGAGGTGCGATGATAGTCCATGTTAATACTTACCTGCAGAAAAGTTGAGCAATGTGATGATTTTTTAAAAAAAAACTGAAAGCAATAAAATCAACAATCAAGTATTATTTTTGCTGTCTAGTCTGTCTGCACAACACCACAAACCTGAGTCCAGCAAAGTAGAACTTGAACAAAATAGCACATAAAAAACATAACAACAGCAAATATATACTGCTGTCTGTTGGCATAAGATTTGTTTCTAATGCACATGTGCAGACTGCTTACAAAGAAAACAGTTGTCAATAAAGAGGCAAAGCATAATTTTGCATTTTAAAACTGTTTGCAAAAATGTCATAAAATGACATAAAATGATTTTTATGCATGTATTAGTCAATCTGCTTGGGAAAAAGTTCATTATGCACAGGATACAGCCACATAACAGAGTAAAGAACCAGGGAAGCAACAGGGAACAGTCCAAAATGGCTCTGAGCATATGCTTGACCAATTCTTCCTTATTGTATCACTTCTTCTGCTTGACTAGCTCCAACTAGTAGAGATGGAACTCGGCCTGTTGTTTATTGGTTAATACTCTTTCCAAAAACACATGATGAAAGATTTTTTTTAAAATAAAGCCCTCAGGCTCCCTGACAAGATGCCTTTGTATGCCCATATTACACCTCTGCTGTATGGGCTGCACTAGGTACCACTGAGCTTGTAAATTTTATTTAGGTGCTTGTTGTTGTTGTTGTTG